GTATAGGACATTGGGTCCAAAACATTGAATTAATAAAGAAAATATTTTTTCCTTTTGGGGAAGAAATCCCACTGAGTTCAAGATCATTCTCCAGCAAGCCTTTTTATAACTATAGTCTTAACTTAGTTGTAATTAGCTTTCCAATTAATTTTAGCAGCATGGGTGTGAAATGAGTCAAGTCCGCCCATTAATTTGATTCATTGAATATCCAAAATCCATCTGAATCGCATCCAGATTCATTTGGAGCTTTAAATGACTAAACCTGAAATTGACAAAATTCTCAAAATGCCTTAGACCAAAAAAGTCATTTTGTCAAACCTTCAATCAGCCTGGATTTCTTGTATTGAGGCAAGTTGCAGCAGTGATGAATTGACTCATTTTATTTAATTTATTTAATATCCTTCCCAATTCATTGAAAAAGCTAAACTGAGAATGGTCAGAGAAGTAGTGAGAGACCCAGTCTCAGGACCTAATACTTCTTCAAGATTGCAGGACATATCTTAGTACATGTCACAAACTGGTAATTAATATTAACAGAATGAGGGTCAGGGAATCACTGCTGCAACTTGCCTCAAAACAAGAAATCCGGGGTAATCAAAGACTTGACTCAAGATTCACTTTTTTTAAAAAAAGGAGAAAGTTCCTTCTGCACTGCAAAGCAAATTCACCTCAAGATAAATCTTTTCCCACTGTCAAGTAGTAAAAAAACATGTAAAAACTGAAGGAAACAGGAAAGTCTCCCAAGGTAAAATGTTCTGACACAGTTGCCATTAATCTACAACAACGTATTCATATAGGAACACAGCATCTTGTTCACATATAACTTCAGCTGCCATGGGTATTCCTTTAAAGTACTTACGATTACTGTCTCTTAGTCTCCTTCATCAATATCTTTCTTTGCTTCTGTCATTCTTTCCCAGACTGAAAGAATTTCAGATTGAAAGAATATTTCCAACTTTATTTAGCTTATCAATGGGTTAGTGAAGTTGTTCCCACTCCACCTGAAATTTAACTATCATAAACAAGGCATCATTTTTTTCAAAAGAGAATGGGCCAAAAACAAACATCCAATTTGCAAAAAGAAGCAAAATAGTCAAGATTTATAATCCAGACTACCTTACCAAGTATCTACTTCAGGCCATGTTGGCTAATAATTTAAACTCATCAGATGGCCTTCAAAAAAAGAATGACACCACCAATTTTTTTCTTTAATAATAGCTAGCTTTTAGCTTCCAAGTATTCTCTTTCTCTCTTCTCCCTCCTCCTCCCTCCATCTCTTTTCCTTTCCCCATTTGTCTTTGCTTTGTTTCTGAAGATCATATTCTTCATTAGTTCATCACTGAAGAAATTCTCCAATTCTGCTAGATGAAAAATACAAAACAAAGAAGAAGAGAGCAATAAGCCCTGCAAAATTTCTCTTTCAGAGCCAGTAGGATTTTAAAAAAGAAACTTGAAGCTAGGTTAATTTGAATGAAATGGGGGGGGGAAAGGGGGGGGTTAACCTTAAAGCTCGCCCTCTTGTGGTTAATTGCTTTTATGTCTTCAGTATAAAAAATGAACTACTGGCAACCCTTTTATTTTTAATGAATGAATCTGAAAACTTAGTAAATTGTCTCCCTTCAATACTTTATTGCAAATTTATTTAAAAGATCATTAAATTTTCTTTTGTGGAGATTTGCTGTCAGATGTCAAGGAAGTGGAAAATATACATAAGATAACATGAAGACATTTATATGTAGTAAACCTGCTCAGGTTCAGACAAAGCTTGATATAAATTTGGTTACAGTTTCCATTTATTCCTGATTACATGATGATCATTACCACTAGAATATCAATATTATCTCCTCCTTACTCATAATTGTTATTTACAACTTTTAAAAAATTGTTTGCTGAATTACCATTTTTTTCTGTTCAATCATATCTGTTTCTTGGAGAAGTCCCCCACAGGTGTTTTTCTTTTCAGAAGTGATTTGCCATTTCTAGAGCTGAAAGAAAGTGACCAGCCCAAGGTCACCTAACTGGATTTGTGCCCAAGGCAGGACTAAAATTCAGAGTCTCGTGGATTGTAGCTTGATTCCTTAACCACTACACCAAAATGACTTTATAATTACCAATAGGTTATTATAAATCAAACAGTGTATAACACAGTCCAGTAGCTATTATTCATCTGACTGTAAAATTTAGGGTGTTAACTAGATTACCATAGCTTATTGCAGCAATATTCATTTTTGTGATATTCTTGATAAGTACAGTAATATTCATTCTTGTTTCCCAAAGGCAATTTAAAAATACAAGCATTTTAGCCAACTGTAAATCTGGTCTTACTAGAGAAAAAGCTTTATGTATTTTTCAAATACCTTTAATTAATTGTGTTATAATAAATGTAGTAATTGTGATGCCATGTTAAATTACCATTTTCCTGCTACTTATTTGTTGCTATTAGTTTAACAAAAGGTAATCTGGATTGTCAGCAGCACCTGCCAAGAATTTGTCTGATCTCTTGAGTCTGAGAACAACTGTAGTTTGATATGTGTTTGGAATTGTCCATTTCTTATTTCATCTAGAAAGCTGTCACTGAGCCTTTTATTGTTTTTTCCTCTTTCAAACTATCTTAGTCTCAATTCAGAAAGAATGTTTGTGTCCTTGTGAGAGCTCTATAAACTATAACTTAGAAATTTTCTCAGACTACTGAGCAGGTTAATTTCATAACTTTTGAAACCAATGAGATAATTTTATTAAATTAACTTGCTTTCAAAAATTAAAAAAAAAAAGAAACTACACTTTTTTCATAGTTTAAGCTTGACAAAACTGAAGATATGTTTCCATTCATTTTCATTTATTCTCTACTGTTCCATTGAAAAGATAGTTGCTTTCAAGAACAACAAGCAGAATACTGGTAAAGAATATTTCTCATATTTTGTTCAATTAGTTTTGAAATATAACCTAAAGCAGATTTTGTACACTTCAGCATCGCTATTTTATAAATATCCTTTATGATAACATGCAAAGTGTTGTTTCTTGTCTTTTTCAGAATAAGATTTAAAAAAAAATACCTGATAACCACAAGAGGGCTATAATCAGCATATAAATTGAATATTATGCAATATTGTTTTGTGCAATAAAACTTTTCTTGACCTTCACATTTCAGCATGGAATAAACTGGTGAAGAAAGAGAAATGATCTTGAGGAAAGTTTTTATGCTTGAAGTTAGTCTGAACAGAAGAACATATATTTCAGGAGAGTTCAGGATTTTTTGTTTGTTTTCCTGCTTTTGCTATACTGAATTCTAGTCAGTACTGAACTCTAGTCAGCACGGATAACATGACAAATATAATATTGACATAATTATAATCGTGGTAGTTTGAATATTTATAAGTTCTAATTGAAAGAAATAATGAGTTGCTGGACTATTGGCTACTTTTTGGGCAATGGCATAGCAAATATTAATCATGTGATTCTCTAAGCCAATTGGACTGCACACCACAGTTGAAGCGTGTCACAGTTGCCTTTGGAGCCTGTTTTAAGCAGAAACAGTACAAACCTCTAGAACTCACACAATGTTGAGAAACCACAGTTCATTCCATCTGTCTTAGAAAGAGTTCTGTGGTAAACTGGATGCAGTGTCTGCCCATCAGATGGTCTATCAATTTCCCTGCTTCTGACTGTTTACTGCTTCATAGAGTAAAACCACTGGAATAAAATCACTTCCAACCACCTTTTAAAAGGAGAGAATGAGTCATTTTTCTTCATAGCAAACCCTTCTCGGGCAAGCCGGGGTGGAGTGGGGGGAGTTGCAATTTGGTAAGTGCTACTCTGACATATATTCCAAGGATAACCATACAGTGGGAATTCATACCATTTAGCAGCAGGAATGTCTGCTGTTAAACCATACACACTTTTCTGCATATCTTTTTCTGCAAACAGAACATCTGAGTCAACAGGTTTTCAGAACTGGAAACTCTGAGAGAGTTGCCTTAATTGTTTATATTGCTGCAGCAAACTTTTAAACAAAAATGCTCAGTGTGCCTATGCGTATGTTTACCACCATATGTTGAGCTAAGCAAAACAATAAGATTCCTTGCAAGCTGCCTTGGCATCACTGAAAAGTGCTTTCACTAGAGAACAGCATTAATCTCCAGAAAGTTTTAAGTTGTGATTCTTTAATCTCTTATTATTGGTAAGTCTGACTGTATAGCAGTCTGGGCACAGGCACACGTGTGTGTGTGTGTGTGTGTGTGTGTGTGTGTGTGTATACAAAAGCTAAACATTGAAGATAATTCATACATTGAATGATAAAGTCTGTATTTATCATTTAATAGCAGCTCAAATAATTACCTGTTTGCAGGAGTGGAAAATGAGTTGAACACTGTAGGACAGTGTTATATATTTTAAAAAAATAAGTAGTTGGAAAGGCACCCCATCAAAGTTGCACTCTTTGGCAGAGAACTCTTAGGAGTACCATTTTTCTTTGCTTTGTTTTTCCCCCCACTGTGCAAAAGTCAGCATTACAATTTGGATTGCCTACAACTATTTGTGCCACTTAGTACTAGGTTTTCTGACAGTAGCTGTTAACACTTTTATTGCCCTGAACATTTGCTAGGAACTGTGTAACAAATATTTATCCTCATCTTGACAGATTTTACAGTGAGTTGTTTCAGAAACTAATTGTAGCTGTTTTTCTTCACTTACACCATTTGCCTATTTACTACCCCATTCTGGTTAGAACTGATTGGTTCTTTTCTCAAGTAGGGAAAGAAGTTCCCACTTCTTAATATCAAATCCAAAATGTTAGATGCGTGTACATCACTTATTGGCTAGTTTGGTGAGTATAAATAAAATATCTGCAATCAAAGCTGAATTCTAGGGATTCACATTCCTTCACACTTTTGCCCTCTACTTTCCGACCACCTCATCTGGAATATAACAATTACAAAGAAAAGTTAATTGCAATTCTAACAACATTGTGCTTCCCTCTCAACCCCACTTCCAATAGCACCCACCTGATTCTGCAAACGTTATGATCTCAGATGTTTGCTCCATCAGTTCATTCTTTTCTGTTCTTCTTCCAATGTCATTCTCTATTTCTACATTGCCATCTTCTCTCACTTTTCCGACATGGAGTTTCTTGATAGCATTTAGAAGTGCAGCTTTGGGCACTGACTGAGTGATGTTAGGTCTGTCTCTCAAGTGCAACATGTTCAGGATATGCTTCTTTACAGCTTCCACCATCTCAGGCTGTGAGCTGGGCACATTCTTGGAAAGGGTGCCAAGGGCACAGGATGGACAATCAGAAACTAAATTGTGTCCATCCGATCCTGAAGTTGGGGAACTTTGCAGTATAATCCAGCAAAATAACAGTATCAATCCTCTAGTCAGAAGCAAAGGCATCCTTGCAGCAAAAGTTGTTGTGATTCCTTTTTTAAAAAGGCAAGGCTTTTCTTCCGCCACAATTACTTCTTCACCCAGTTGGATTTTTTCCCCTTCTGCTTCCTCTTTTCTCTTCAGGAAGAACAAAAAGTTTTCTGTGAAGTTTGGTTTGGAAGATCCCTCTCTGAATTCACTAAGTGCAAATGATGTCTTTGACTGTCAGTGAGAGGAGTCTGACTCTGTCGCGCTGTAGCAAAGCACACGCTGAGAAATAGGCAGAGAGAAATGAGGGAGGAGGACAGCCTAAGTGAGTTGAATGAGAGAGGGAGGGAGTTTTGTCTATGAGTAAAGCTCTGATTGAGAAGGCGGAGGAACAGCTTAAGCCTTCCTTATGCTCATTGCACTCTAGCACATATTTCTCATTTATATTGGCACTCTGGCTTATGATCTGCCACTTTTGCCTTTGAAATCACTTTTTTTTTCATAGTTGCCTGGTGCTTTCTTGACTCCCCCCCTTTACACCCCCCCCCCCCAATTAGATATCTCTGAGTTTTTCCTTTTCCTATCTTTTTCACAGAGTCCCTCAGGCTAATTTAATAGGGTGAACCTGAAATGAGAAGGCTATTTATTGATAGCCTTGGAATACATCTGAACAGCACACAAAGGAGATGTTCAGAAAAGTCCAACTGCTTCCTACTTCAAGTTCTGTCCATAATAAGAATTGGGCAGCTCTACTAAATCTGTGGACTGCTATTATTAAATCTTGAAGTCCTTTCTCATCCGTTGCAACATTTTTAAGATTAATCCATGCTTAAGGCTTGGGGAGAACTGAACTAAAAATGACTAAAGTTGGAAACTTTAACAAGTTGACAAAGTCATATTATTAAAAGTGTATCCTTTTCACTTGACTCAATGGAAAATTCTCTTTTTTTCTGATACTACATATTGGAATCTAGTGATTTTTTAAAAAAAATATTGCTTTGTTAATAGACAAATATTTGTTTACTGTAAATGGATTGCCATTAATTTCTGTGACTGTAAGATTGTATTGAGGCAAGGATATTTCAAAATCTTTGTTATATTTTGGTCAAATAATAAACCATGTTTGAGCCTCACTTGTTTTTTTTCTCCTTCAATTTATCTTAATGCAAGGTTTTAATTACTTTAATCATAAATCATATAGCTCTACCTATGAATTTACCACTTTGCATATTTTTCTTACATTGTAACTTAAGGTTTAGTCTTTTGGAAATACATAATATAACAAAATAGGCCCTATGATCTCCAAGACAAGTAAAGAATCTGAGGGACAATAATAGCACAAATACATTGTTAATGAAATAATTAGAATATACTAAAGGCACAGGTGGGATTCAGCCAGTTTGCACCATTTTGGCAGAACGGTAGCTAATTTTTTGTTGCCCAGGCCCAGAATGGACTTCCGGAAACAGCATCCACACAAAGAACCGGTCGTTCACATATTTGAATCCCACCACTGACTAAAGGTTGTACTTTTGTATATTTGTATACAAGTTTTTAACAGTAAAAGTAACATTCATTTCATTTTAGATGCTTAGATCTCCCTTGATATCATCAAGTTTGATTACTCTGTATATAAATACTATCATTTGAAAAGCTATATTTCTTTTTAAAATTCTATTGTATCACTTCTTCAGTAATTATATTTACAACATTACCTTCATTCTGGACAGATTGCCTTTTGTTAATAGGCTAAAAGTTTTCATTTGAATGGCTAAAACATTTTCTGGATAAAACATTAGGACTGTTAGTGAGAGAATATAACAATTATATTTTGCCTTTCTGACCCCAGTCTCCTAGTGATCTCTGCCATAGAAACTTGACACGGTCTCAAAACTTTCTGTACTGATAGTCAAATCACAGAACTTTGTACTATTCTGTACATTTACTTAATGTTTTGGGATGGAGTTGAAACTGGATTGGCCAATGCCACATTACATCAGCATTTCAGTGGTTTTCCTGTATGAGACATACTTTATGACAATTACCTAATGGAAATTCCTATTTGCTTGGCATGACAAAAAACTGCCTATAATCTGCATCTGCATTTAAAACAAAAACAAAAACAAAAAACCCACCTATTCAGAAATAATATACCATTAGATGTTATTTTGTTGTGTTATTTTGTGAAAGAGCATTTGCCCTTTCACTTAGTCATTTTTTAAAAAAAGAATGATAGTCTCTGATCTTCCTTAAAACATTTTGGATGTATTGCTTCTTGTCTTTTCTCTCCTACTTAAAATTGTTTTTTAAAAAAGATTACATACACTAGTGCTGAAAAGAATACTTAAGAGTAAATCTAGAAGAATGATATGATGTATTGCAACTTAACAACTAGCCTTCATATGTATAAATGTAAGCACATACAATATGATTATTTAAGGATATCACTAACTTTGCAGTTTTGTGGAAATAAGATTTATTTAACTTGTTTTATACACTTTATTGCTGCCTTCAATAGTATTATTAGTATTGTTATTAGCATTACAAGCTATCTTAAGAAACATGAGAGATCTAACTAGAATTGATATAGCCAGAGGAAGCCCTTAAAGTAAAATGAATTATTATTTGAATTGGGATAGCTGTATTTTTTTAAAAAAAAATCAAAAACCTGTGTAGCATTCCATTTTAATATGCAATACTCATTGACTTCCAGAAGAAGAGAAACTGTAATTCTCTGACTTCAAGTCTAAAAATGTAAAGGGATCCTTAACTGCTGGCGAGTACATGGCCATGCAGTGTTGCAGAAAGTGGTCTGTTCTGGAATTTATTTAAACTTTTTGGTTTAGCATGTAGCTCTGGGATTTTCTGAAGGGCAAAAAATGAATATGTCTAACCTTTTTGAAATCAGTATTGTTTTAATGCAAATAAAACTATTCAGAGCATCATGATTCTTGTCGGAAGAAAAGAGCACTAGCAGGGAGGTTTGTGAAGGATATGGAGTAAAGTGGAGTTGAATAACAAACCAGATTCTTGAGACACATTTGGAACACTGTTTCCAATTTAGAAACAAACAGGGAAGTTGCCTTATTCCAGGTCCAGTATGCACACAATTTCTTCAAAAACACACTTAAAATACATTAAAATAAGATTCAAAGGAGTCTTTGTATCATTTAAAACAATAGTTTAGAAGAAAAAAATATTTAAAGAAAAGATCTTAACCTCAAAATAAATTCAAAATAAACTCTATTTTTTAAAATTCCATCTTTTTGCAGATTCTTTTTTAATTCTTCAGATGAATACGTGGATTTTCAAGTTGTGAGTTACTTCTTAAAGCAATCATCTTTAGCTTGTTACTCTTAGACATCTTTTTTTAAATCAAGTTGTCTGACAGCCATTTCAGAAGATTGTGAGAAAATATTCTAGATCGTAACAAATTCACACATAACATGAAGTTTACAATTGTTGTGCATAAACTAAAACTATATCTAAATAAAAAGACAATGTTTTTAGGACTCAATACACATTTTCAACCTTTTTTTAAAAAAACAGGAATGTTGTTCAAAATAAGTGTACTTGATTTATGGAAGAGTGTGTGTGTGTGTGTGTGTGTGTGTGTGTGCAAGCTTGTACTGCCAAAAATGGGTGGTTTACTGCTGATTTCATGATCTGAACAATCTGTGGATTGATGCATGCTGCAAAAATGGGCTAGGGATTACCTGGGATTTATGAGCTATAGACTGTCCACCCCAACCTTAAGTTATTTAACCACACTCCCTCTTCATTGTGACATGGAGGGAAACAAATGGAAAATTTGTTTCTAAAATAGTTCCTCTAGAAAGCTTTTTTTTCTGTGTCAAGGTTTTCAATGAGAAATATGCAAAACATTTTGAAGAAATGCAACAATTCCCTGAAATACAGCCTTGAAAATGTTAACCAAATGTATTATTATCAAAGTTTATTGCATTTTGAGCATAATAACTGAATAATTCTAGCCTGTAGCCTTGTTATGTTGATTGGCATTGTATCTGTTCATATTAAAAGAATTCAAAATATGTAATTTCATTTCTTCTTAGCTACGTACAAGTATTAATTAATATATATTTATTTATATTCTCAAAGATATATGCCTTTCCATTTTTTTCTCATGATAACCTTCAACCATATCAGGTTGATAAATACCATATGAGGAGAGGAGACTATTGTGGCAAAAAAAGTAGTCCAGTAACATTTTTGAAACTAATGGATTTTATTTAAGGCATACATTTTTATGAGAGGAAAGATTATTTTTGATAACATTTGTTAATCTGAAAAGCTACCAGAGCCTTGATTTTTAGGCTGAGGGTGAATGTGAATGTAACCCAGATTCCAATTCAGTTCTTTAACCAATATGCCATCCTGGTTGTCATATAAGAATCTTGTCGCCCTAATGTCGCAGCTAGTAAAAATGCAAACATTAGTTATGATTCAGGTTGTTTGTTTCCTAGTGCTGAGCACATAATATCAAGTACTTGAGCCTTAGAAACCTATGGCTATTCCTTCATCATTTATAATTTGTACTATTGCAGTTTTCAGTGACATTGTAAGGATTGGAATAACAATGAAAATAAGTTCCATTTGAATAATTGAACTTCCTTTATTATGAATGTGCCTGGAAAAATTATTTAAAAGCAATGCTAGACGAGTTTCACTGTGTCTTACTCATCAGTACCATACATTTCCATACTGACATAAGAACTTCCAGGATATTGTATTAAAATCATATATTTAATTAGAAAGTTATTTAAGCTCCCTTAGAAAATTAGTTTGGGGATGTGAAGTTCATATTTAAACTATATGTAAATATGTAAATATAGCACATTATATTTCCAGCAACCTATATTTTGAAAATATAGACACTGCATTTTCAGATGTATGTTTTTACTCCTGTGAAAAAGGGTGAAGTGTCAAAAGAGAATTCAGACTCATAATTTCATTTTTAAGATGCTTAGCCTTTTTGCTTTTTCCTTATTCTTTCTTTGGGGGTCAGTGTAGTATTGCAACCTGAAAACCAGTA